AACCCCTCTCCCTGCAGCGAATGCCCAAGGAACCAGCCTGGGTCACTTCCAGGGGGAGCCATGCTGGTTCCCGAGTGCGCCCCCCCCGGCAGCCTGGTTCCCGTCCGGCAGGGTCTTTCTGGATTTGCCAGGAGAACACGGGAAGCTGCCCGTTTGGGTTTCGACCCTCGCCTACGCCGTGGGAGAGGGGTGGAGTCACGCGAGAGCGGGGAGGGGGGCTGGCCGAGTTGTCCGGGGGTGTCGTGGGCTTGCGTTATGGAGGCAGTGGGAGCTTGTTGTTGGGGGACTTTGCATGTCACAGGTGGTGACCCCAACTGGGACCGCCCCCATGCTCTGGGGGCAGGAGTCTGGGCCCAGCAGGGCTAGCAGTTTTCCTGCCTCTCCGTGGACCTTGGCGCCGTGTCAGCTGAGTCGGGCGCGCTCTGCTCCAGACCGAGGCCCTAGTGTGTCCGACTCTGCCCCGGAGGGCTGGCGTTCCCCTTGGCTTTTGCAGGGCCTGGCAGAGACGCCAGACTGCCACGCTCCTAGGTTTGGTGAGGTTCTTGGCTTCCTGCCCCAGCCTGATGTGTGGTGTGGTGGTTTTTTTCCCCCCCAGAGGCAGCTGCCAGTGGACCTGGGGAGGGAGGGGCCTTTGTATCCCTGTTCCTGGCAAGGGGAGATGGGAACCTGCCTGCTCCCCACAGCCCCTGTCCTGTGTGAGCTGTGCTGAACCCAGCAGGCCAGGATGGCACGTGGGAGGCAGAACTGGGCTTGGGGGGGGCAGAGAGCTGGCCTGGTCTGGGGAGCCGTGGGGGGGGAGCCTGTGGACCCTGCCTGCTCCCCACAGCCCCTGTCCTGTGTGAGCTGTGCTGAACCCAGCAGGCCAGGATGGCACGTGGGAGGCAGAACTGGGCTTGGGGGGGGCAGAGAGCTGGCCTGGTCTGGGGAGCCGTGGGGGGCGAGCGTGTAGGTTCTCTGCAACTCGTCCCGATGCCGCACAGAGCCAGAGCTCACCGGCGTCCTTCTGGGATCAGGCGCTGTGGCTGGCTCTGCTGCACGGGC